GAAACAACCTGAAGGCATGAGGTTGTGCAAGATCAATTCCAGGTGTTTATGTTTTGGCCATATCATCAAGAGCCCTCATTGACATATCAGGAATGAGCCATATTTAGAGCTATTCAGCGAACATGGTGCAATGCTTTGTGTTCTGGACTTGAACTTTGGAAGACCAGGGTTTGAAACCTTCATGAAAACTGACCTTAGGCAAGGAGTGCTCTCTCTCAGTGTCACAATACAGCAATGCCAGACCCCATCTGAACAAATCGTGCAAAAAAAACCCCATAATAGCATCACATAGATTGTTAGAAAAACAAAAACTATCTGTTACAGCAGTGGTTCTCAACCTTCCTAATGCAGTGACCCCTTAATAAAGTTCCTCATGTTTTGGTGACTCCCCAACCATAACATTATTTTCGTTGCTATTTCATAACTGTCATTTTGTTACTGTTATGAATCATAATGTAAATATTTGATATGCAGGATGTATTTTCATTCACTGGACCAAATTTGGCACAAGTATACACCCAAATTTCAATACTAGTGGGGTTGATTTTGCCATTTGGGAGTTGTAGTTGCTGGAATTTATAGTTAATCTACAATCAAAGAACATTCTGAACTCCACCAACAATGGAATTGAACCAAAGTTGACAAACAGAACTCCCATGACCAACAGAAAACACTGGAAGGGTTTGGTGGGCCTTGAATTTTGGAGTTGTAGTTCACCTACATCCAGAGAGCACTGTGGACTCAAACAATGGTGGAGCTTGACCAAACTTGGCACAAGTACTCAACATCCCCAAATATGAACACAGGTGGAGTTGGGGGAGGGATTGATTTTCTCATTTGGGAGTTGTAGTTGCTGGGATTTACAGTTCACCTACAACCAAAGAGCATTCTGAACTCCACTAACAATGGAATTGAACCAAACTTGGCACACAGAATTCTCATGCCCAACAGAAAATACTGGAAGGGTTTGGTGGGCATTGACCTTGGGTTTTGGAGTTGTAGTTCACCTACATCCAGAGAGTACTGTGGACTCAAAGAATGTTGGAGCTGGACCAAACTTGGCACCAATATTCAATATGCCAAATGTGATCACTAATGGAGTTTGTCAAAAATAGACTTGACATTTGGGAGTTGAATTTGCTAGGATGTATAGTTCACCTACAATGAAATGTTTTATAGAATTTAAAATGTTTTATAGAATTTATATAACTCCTTGCTTTCACCTGTGATATTTTAATACACCATCCAATTGAATGTTGACAGGACCTTCACATGGTGTTGGGGGTCTTAAAACCTCATTTGCACAATCTTCTTGAGTGCAAAATCAGTCTTATGTCTCTCATTTCTTACCAAGGTTGGATTTGTTGGGTGAATCATCTGCTTCCATCTGGGCAGATTTTCCCATTAGTGCAGTGTTTCTCAACCTGGGAGTCGGGACCCCTGGAGGGGTTGCAAGGAGGTGTCAGAGGGGTCGCCAAAAACCATCAAAAAACAGTATTTTCTGTTGGTCATGCGGGTTCTGTGAGGGAAGTTTTCCCCAATTCTATTGTAAGTGGGGTTCAGAAAGCTCTTTGATTGTAGGTGAATTAGAAATCTCAGCAATTAAAACTCCCAAATGTCAAGGTCTGTTTTCTCCAAACTCCACCAGTGTACCCATTTAGGCATATATAGTATTCGTGCCAAGTTTGGTCTCTCTGGATGTCGGTGAACTTGTCATTTGGTAGTTGTAGTTGCTGGGATTTATAATTCAGCTGCAATCAAAGAGCAACTACAACTACCAAATGACAAAATCAATCCCTCCTCACCCCCACGGGTATTCAAATTTGGGTGTATCGGGTATTTGTGCCAAATTTGGTCCAGTGAATGAAAATGCATCCAGCGTATCAGATATTTACATTACGATTGATAACGGTAGCAAAATTACAGTTATGAAGTAGCCACGAAAATAATTGTATGTTTGGGGGTCATCACAACATGAGGAACTGTATTAAGGGGTCGCGGCATTAGGAAGGTTGAGAAACACTGCATTAGTGGCTGATGGCTGTAGATCCAAGGTTGCTCTTTCAAGCTTGCCATTTTGTTCCTGCTGTAGCACCCTCAACTGATAAGTCTCATTGTGAAGTTGTCAAGAAGGGGAAGATTATTGCTTAAACTATGGTGGTAAATTGGTCTTTTAAGAGGCTTTATTCCATAATAGATTCTCCATTGTGCTTTTTCCCTTGGAATCCAAGAGAGAAATGAGGACCATTGCCCACAGTAGAGAGACAGGAGCATTTAATAGGAGACCATAGGGGTGGCTCTCTTTTGTGATAATTGAGCAGTTTTTGTATTCATCCTGGATGGGCACAAAGAGATGCTGTCAAGTTGCTTAATGAGCCACTTACCACATCCCTCATGCATATTATCCCAGCAGCCACAATGCCTATAAGCGTGTGCATGGTACAGTATATATCATTTTACTTGCCCCCTGGTGATGCCACCAAAGAAGGCGAGGCCTCATTAGTCTGCTGAAATCACAGCAAATGCCAACTGAGTGTGCTCAAATGATACATTCTGTTTGCTTTTAAGTTCAGGATTTATAATTGTTTCCTCTCCTCAACTTCAGCCACATGGCTCTTCCTCAAGGAGGACTAGGCTCATGCTGAGCTTTTGTTCACTCAATGGCAAATAATTTATGAACACGAATTACACTCTGTGATTTTTCCCGCTTTTAAGCTGAAAATTGTGATTCTCTTCCCGCATCACCAGCCCTTGCTCTTACATCAAAACTAGCTTAGTGGATTTAAAAAGAAACTTTTAACACTTTAATAGAACCCTAATCTGCTCTTTTTTTGTTGGTCAAAGCTAAAGCTACTTTTAGGAGGCATATTTAGCTCTCAGAAAAGCCGTGGATTTCATACAATTGGAATTAGTGGTAGTCATTGAATCTTGCTAGTTCAGGTGTTTCTCTAAACTTGGGAAGAAAAGTTCAGTGGAAATTTTGGATGTGTTATCAAGAATGGGATATAGCTTCTACAGGAGGCCGTAAGACAGGACTGGAGACTAGGACACGGAACAATGGCTTCAAACTACAAGAAAGGAGATTCCATCTGAACATGAGGAAGAACTTCCTGACTGTGAGAGCCGTTCAGCAGTGGAACTCTCTGCCCCGGACCGTGGTGGAGACTCCTTCTTTGGAAGCTTTTAAACAGAGGCTAGATATAATAATAATAATAATGTTAATAATAAGAAGAATTTATTTGTGCCGCGCTACCATCTCCCCAAGGGACTCGGTGCGGCTTACATGAAGCCGAGCCCAAAATACAACAATAAAAACAATAGCAACAGTAATACAAACAATAAATAAACTCTTAAACAAAAAATTGCAATAAACATTAACAATAACACAACAACGTTTAAAAACCTATGACAGGGCCAAATGTACTAATTAAAATTTTAAAAAAATAATGCTGGGCGTAACCAGGTGACATATAAACAGGATAGAAATTTTGGAGAGGGATAGAGCATGTAGACAATCCTAGATCACTAAAAAGTGCATTTGGGGACATATTGCTGGGAGCTTCCTTATTCTGGGAAGGCACACTGGAACAACCACATTTTCAGGCTCCTCCTAAAGACTGCCAGCGTTGGGACATAGAATCATAGAATCAAAGAGTTGGAAGAGACCTCATGGGCCATCCAGTCCAACCCCCTGCCAAGAAGCAGGAATATTGCATTCAAATCCCCCCTGACAGATGGCCATCCAGCCTCTGTTTAAAAGCTTCCAAAGAAGGAGCCTCCACCACACTCCGGGGCAGAGAGTTCCACTGCTGAACGGCTCTCACAGTCTGATGTCCCTGGATGGCTATCTGTCAGGGATGCTTTGAATGCAATATTCCTGCTTCTTGGCAGGAGGTTGGACTGGATGGCCCATGAGGTCTCTTCCAACTCTATGATTCTATGATTCTAGGTTTATAAGTGACAATTTTGGCACTTCTGGCTTTAAGGAAACCTGTGGGCCATGAAGAGGTTCTGAGGAGCTTCAAGGAGCCCAGTGACTGAAGCCACTTCTACACTGCCGTATAATTCAGATTATCCACATTATCTGCTTTGAACTGGATTATATGAGACTACACTGCCATATAATCCAGTTGAAAGCAGATAATCTGGATTTTATATGGCAGTGTAGAAGGGGCCTGAATTTCCATCCTAGGTGAATGGATGCTTTCTTGTTGTGGTGTAAAAACCCTTAAAGCAGATAAAAACAAGGGTTTTCTCTATAACCCATCATCTGCATCCAGTAACCATTAATATACTTTGTAAAATCTTATTTTACATCAGTAACTTGTTCAGGTATACTCCTGGTGACTCCTGAGCAGATCAAGCCTTATAATGACGCATGGGATAGACCTGAACGGAGTCCCAGAAATGCAAATATCACCATGCAGGCCCGTAGCCAGGATTTTGTTTTGGGGGGTGGGGGGGCTGAATTTTTTTCAGGGGGGGTTTCGGGGGGGGGGGCTGAGTCTGAAAGAGGGTCTAGCCTAGCAAACCTTTTGTATCATTACCCCAATACCCCCATGCATATGGGATATATTGAGTATGGTGATCAGATCATGATATGAATAAACATAACAGTTTAAATAATGCACCAGTAAGGCCTTTTCGCAAAGCACCATAAGAATTTCGGGGGGGGGGCTGAAGCCCCTCAAGCCCCCCCCCCCTCCCCCGGCTACATGCCTGTCACGATGTTGAAGCTTTACTGGCTATTAGTGTGTTTCTGGACACTACATTATGACCTATAATGTCCTGAACTACTTGGATCCAGGCTGTCAGAAAAATGTTCATACTGTATTTATCTGTGCCTATTGTTATTTGTATTTGTATTTTCATCATTTTGTATGCCTTGAGTTCTAATTCTGGAAGGAGTGCATAATATATGCTTTTTTAATGAAGTAGTCAATTAAAAAATATGATTGCAGCACATAATCATGTATGTCTCCTCTTTTTCTTTTCCCCAGGGCCAGCATCTTCTTTTACCCAGCAGCCTCAGGACCAGGTAGTGATTGCCGGGCAACCTGTGACCCTGCTGTGTGCCATTCCAGAGTACAATGGAATCGTGCTGTGGATTAAAGATGGGCTCGCTCTTGGAGTAGGCAGGGATCTCTCAAGTAAGCTTTCTACATCTTCTAATGTCACACTGGCTCCTATTGGAAATTATGACTCATATCCTTGAAAAGAAAACATGCATCATTCAGTTGTCTTTGTGTGCGTCCAAGTAAATTCTGATTTAAGGTGGACCTCTCACTGGGTTTTCATATTCTCAGAGCAGGTTCAACCATTCCTTCTTTTGCAAGTTATAGAGTCTGACTTGCCCAAGGTCACCCTGTGGGCTTCCAAGGTTGAGTGGGGTTACAAACTCTGGTCTTCCGCTACCATAATCCAGTACTCAAACTCTCTATCATGCTGTCTCTCAATTCAGAACTACAAGCACCCGAGAGAGGGCATAGCAAAGTGGGGTACAAGGAGATGTATGTGGGGGGGGGGCTTTCATCCTCTCCCTCTTGTCTTTGGCTTACTTCCATTGGCATAAACTAGGGGTCCTCAAACTAAGGCCCGAGGGCCGGATACGGCCCTTCTACGTCATTTACCCAGCCCTCACTCAGGGTCAACCTAAGTCTGAAATGACTTGAAAGCACACAACAACAATCCTATCTCATCAGCCAAAAGCAGGCCCACACTTCCCATTGAAATACTAATAAATTTACATTTGTTAAAATTGTCCTTCATTTTAATTACTGTATTGTTTTATGTGTTTTTGCACTAGAAATAAGATATGTGCAGTGTGCATAGGAATTCATTCATGTTTTTTTCAAATTATAATCCGGCCCTCCAATAGTTTGAGGGACTGTGACCTGGCCCTCTGTTTAAAAACTTTGAGGACCCCTGGTATAAACAGTTCAAAGTGCAAAAGATGTTTGTATTTAATTACTTCGGCAGGAAATGAGGGAAGAGGGGGCAGAATCTTGGCTTTACCAGTAGGCCAAAGCAAATTGCTGAAGTTCCACCTGTCTAGCTCTTCCCCCCATTGGTATTAGCAAACACTTTTAAATATGTGTTGCAACATCCAATAACTACAGTCATGCATGCCTACACACAATGCATGTGTATAGACCAATCAGGTCCATCACTTTGAGCACCACATGGCTTTGCATGTTTGAATCAGATCTTAAAGCCCACTATAAGCCTGCCAGCAATGACAAAAGAAAAAAGTATCCCATCTGCACACTCCAAACCTCAGGAGTCTACTGTAAAATGGGAATACTCTGACATGCCTGAGAGCAATGATGCGAGGCATCCTCTTACTGTACCCAAGAGGGAGATCTATGCATCAGAGGGAGACTGTATGCTGCTTCAGAGCATTTGCACAAGCTAAGCTCTGTTCAAACACATTACTCCAAGATGTAAGGAAGACATTTGTTCTTCGAAAGAACCTCAGAAATTGTTCTTCTAAAGAAACTCATGAAATGGAAGACCTCTCTAGCCCAGAATTCTTCTCTCCGAATTCATCTACACTGTAGAATTAATGCAGTTTGAAACTACTATAATTGCTATGGCTCAACACTATGAAATCTTGAGAGTAGTAGTTTTCAAAGTTCTTTAGACATATACGCCAAAGAGTGTTGTTGTCTCACCAAACTAGAAATCCAAATATTTGGACCAAAAGTCAATCACGGCAGCTTCAAGACAAACCCCTGCAGTATACAATTAACTGGATTTAGGATAAGAATGGCACTCCATGCAGTCATGCCGACCACAGAAATGGAGATGACCACTAACCCCCAGAGTCAGACACAACTAGACTTAATGTCAGGGGAAAACCTTTACCTTTACCTAGGATAAGAGTCTTGATGGCTGCTTGAAAGAAGGTGGTTAGACTGGGAGATTCAGAGCTCTACGAAGCAAGCAAAAACACAAATAAACCAATAGAGAGAAAGTGGCAGAGTTTGATCCTACCTCCCAGGCTCTTCTAGTTAGAGTTATTTTGTTGGCTTCCTGGCTCTTTCCATCACTGTCCTGATTCATCCTCAAAAGCATTAGCAGAGTTCATCAACTGGCTCTCATGCTCTCCTGAGGCTAGAGAGATGACAGCTGGAAAGATGGTGTCTCAGGTGAGCCCTTCACTTCCACAAGGATACACTGTCCAGGTAGAGCACCTGAAAAGTCTAGGTCAGTGGTTCTCAACCTGTGGGTCCCCAGATGTTTTGGCCTTCAACTCCCAGAAATCATAACAACTAGTAAACTGGCTGGGATTTATGGGAGTCGTAGGCCAAAACACCTGGGGATCCACAGGTTGAGAACCACTGGTCTAGGAAGAACACCTGAAAACTTTGGAGAAGCTAAAAACAGTGACACCAGAAACACACGGTATCTTAAAAATGTTTCTAAGGGAACACTCTTGCTCTGATGACTCCTCTTGCCCCGAGATGCAAAAATCCAATTATAATTATAACAATTCATAACAGAGAGTCAGCATGGTGTCGTGGTTTAAGGGTTGGTCTACAGCTCTGGATTTCCCTGCTCAGCCATGGAAATCCACAAAATGACCTTGGGCAAGTCATACTCTCTGAGCCTCGGAGAAAGGCAAAGACAATCTTCCTCAGAACAAATTTCATCAAGAAACCCTTTAGCGTCACCATGAGCCAGAAATGACTTGAAAGCACACAACAACATAAGAAACCATCATGGTTAGAGTGGTGTGAAAGCCTTATCTTCTGGCCAGCCTCCCTCCCTCCCTCCACAGTTTTTCTTTGCCTACATTTAACAGGGAGGGAAAGAGCCATGCAACAACTTGGATAAATGTCTCCATCCTCTCCTTTGAACTTTGGATTATGTATTCTCCCTTTCACTCCCCACTCCATGCTTCCAATGGTTTATTATTTGCCCCGAAACTTCAGAACGGGGAATGCATACCAAGAGCTAATGTGGCTGACGTATCATTCTGAGCAAGTTCGGCAATTAACTTTGCCAGCTCTGTGTTCGCAAGCCTGCATGTGCGCTACTAGCTCAGCTAGTCATCTAATTAGCTAAATACAAACAAACCCTTCATTTGTATTTCTCGTGGTTCATGAGAGCAAATCCTGCTGTTGATAGCTTGAAAAACAAAGCGGGGCGGGGGGGGGGGGGAGAGAAAAACCATGCAAGTGTGCCAAGCTGCCTCTGCTTCACAGCTCATTAATCATCGGGCTTCCTAAGAAGGGAAGATTTCAGAGATGGCCGAGACTTGATGCTCATGGTAATTTGGTGAACTGGCGAGATGAAGCCCAGAATGGTCATCCAATGTCAGTCAGTACTCTCCTATGCCCCAGACAGCAATACATTGACAGGCACTCCCCAAGTTATGAACATCCAAATTACAAATTTCCACAACAAGCCATTTTTTTCAAAATCCAATTGTCACAGAACCAGGAAGTAAAGTGAAAAAGAATCATAGGATCGTAGAGTTGGAAGAGACTCCCTGGGCCATCCAGTCCAACCCTCTGCCAAGAAGCAGGAATATTGCATTCAAAGCATCCCTGACAGATGGCCATCCAGCCTCTGTTTAAAAGCTTCCAAAGAAGGAGCCTCCACCACACTCCAGGGCAGAGAGTTCCACTGCTGAACAGCTCTCACAGTCAGGAAGTTCTTCCTCATGTTCAGATGGAATCTCCTTTCTTGCAGTTTGAAGCCATTGTTCCATGTCCTAGTCTCTAGGGAAGCAGAAAACAAGCTGCTCCCTCCTCCCTGTGGCTTCCTCTCACGTATTTATACATGGCTATCATATCTCCTCTCAGCCTTCTCTTCTTCAGGTTAAACATGCCCAGCTCCTTAAGCCACTCTTCATAGGGCTTGTTCTGCAAACCCTTGATCATTTTAGTCGCTCTCTTCTGGACACATTCCAGCTTGTCAATATCGCTCTTGAATTGTGGTGCCCAGAATTGGACACAATATTCCAGGTGTGGTCTATCCAAGGCAGAATTGAAGAGTAGCATTACTTCCCTAGATCTAGACACTATGCTCCTATTGATGCAGGCCAAAATCCCATTGGCTTTTTTTGCTGCTACATGACATTGTTGGCTCATGTTGGAATCATAGAACTCCTTGCCAAAAAGCAAGAAAATTGCGTTCAAAGCACCCCCAACATATGGTCATCCAATCTCTGTTTAAAAGCTTCCAAAGAAGGAGCCTCCACCACCAATCTTCTGAACAGGAGCACATACAGCAAAGGAAACACCACATGGGTATTAAACCTTTCCTATGCTCCCCAAAGCATGTGTGTGTGTGTGTGTGGAGTTACACTTTTAAAATGTACCTGTTCTGATTTTTTTAAAAAAAAAATCTTAAGAACAAACCTATAGAACCTGTCTTGTTTGTAACTTGAGGACTGCCTGTATTTTCAGCCCTCTTTTCAATGCATTCAGAATCTGAGTTTTGATAACAGCATTATTTCCCCAAATAAAGGGAAGCATCTGTCTAGATATTGGACTGGGTTAAAACTGTGCATCCCCATTTTCTTCTCAAGTACACTTTACACATTTTTTTTTCAGAGCTCTTCATAGACTTTAACACATAAGGGCGTAAGCATGTACTTTAATGCTCTTTGAGTGAAGAAAGATGTGTTCCGATTCACTGGTTGACTGCTGGGTGCTTAGAGGTGTTTAAGCACTTCATTTAGGTCTAGTTTACACCAAATGTAGTGAACCACTTCAGACTGCATGTGGGGGGCATTGTTATTAAATGCCCCTCTTTATTGAAAGCAAAACCAAACAGCAAAAACCAATAAGGATAAAAAGATAAACACTCTCTGCTCGGAGAAAGAGTTGGTTTGGGAGAAAGCATAATTTCTTATTATGTACATCCACATTCTCTGTATGTGACTTTTCCTCCTAGCTCACAAAGAATTAATGGGTTTTGAAAGAGCCCAAAGAGATAATGTTGTTGCTGTTGGTGCCTACATGACAGCTCTAGTATTTTCTTGGCAAGATCCATTCAAAGGAGGTTTGCTATTGCTTTCTTCTAAGGCTGAGAGAGTATGCCTTGTCTGGTATTATCTAATTGGTTTCTATGGTTGAGTAGGGATTAACCTCCTCTGTCTCAAACACAGTTGGCGGGGATGATGGACAGGGCCTTCTCGGTGGTGGCCCCCCTGCCCACTTCCCAGGGAAATTAGGTCATCGTCATCTCTCCTCACCTTTAGAAAGAAAGTAAAATTGTGGATGTGGGACCAGGCCTTCGGGCAACTAGGTTAAAGGACAATTGATAATGTTTGACTATGGCTTGGAAGTGGATTTGGATAAGTTAAGTGGAGTACTCAATAGTATATAGCTAGATAAATAGCCACCAGACTGGTAATAGCTCAATGGACTGTAAGTATACTGTTTTAATTTTTATGTCTTAATGTTTATGTTTTTAACTGTTATAATTGCTGTTTTGTATTTTATGATGCGGCATCGAATTGTTGCCAATTGGAAGCCACTCTGAGTCCTCCTAGGGGTCCTTGTTGAACAACCAAATGGCTTAAAATGGAATCATACTGCTATTATTGTGCAGTTTGAAAGAACCCCAAAACTACAAAGCTGCCAGAATTAAAAGTTGAACAGAATGTTAACTATATCTTCTAATAGCAGCAGCAGCAGCAACTTATTATGTGTTGCTTTAAGATTTTATGTGCATTGCTATTCTGATGCTGCTTACATGTTGTTTTATGATAAATGGTCCAGAAATGTTGCTGAATAAATACATTCATAATACTTCTACTACTATTAACACTGTGCAGTCCAATAACTGTAACTACATAATCTTCTGTCTCTGCAGCCTGGCCTATACTTAGGATGCTCATGAATCAGGCTGACAGTAATACTTGCAGAGTTTAGAAAAGATGGAGGACATTTATTTATTTGTTTGTTTATTTATTTCTTTACAGCTTTTATATTCCGCCCTTCTCACGCCGCAGGGGACTCAGGACAGATTACAGTGTACACATATATGGCAAACATTCAATGCCAATTTTAACATACAACATATACAGACATACACAGAGGCTATTTAACCTTTTCTGGCTGCCAGGGGAACTGTCGCTTTCATCATCCATCTGCGACACTGATGAAGTACTTCTGCATTCCCCGCATGCTTTCTGCTGGAGTGTTTTGTTGGAGTCTTTTTTATGGCCTCATAAATTAGTTAATTTAGCCTCCCCACACTTTAAGTGGTACCTAATTTTCCTACTTGACAGATGCAACTGTCTTTCGGGTTGCAAAGGTCGACAACAGGCTACACAATTGGTTGGAAACCCACTCCAACCTGGGCTGGCTTCGAACTCAAGACCTTTTTGTCAGAGTGATCTCCCAGAATCGCCTAGAATTCCAGTTGGTGGATTCTGGTTGATGAAGTTCAAAAAAAATTAAGCTCTACTGATGTTGCTGTTTCTTGTATAGTGGTGACTAGAGATTTGCATTATCAGCGAGGCAATAAATTGCTCAAAGTTTTCATAAAGACTTTAAAGGGCCTACCAAGTTATGAACTTGTTTTGGAGATAAGGTTCAGCGCTTTGGAATGACTAATATTTGGTGTGGATCCACTGCCAATTGAAATGGAAGCTACTGATCATGAATAGATAGATTTAGAAATTAGGACACTTTGAAGTTTGGTCCTTTGGATATTTATTTTTCAAAGTCCTTGATACTGGAGAACTCATTTACTGATATATGGAATTGTATCAATTTCTTGACTCGATCTTTATTTTTCTTGTGTGCCACAGGCTACCCACGCTATTTGGTTGTAGGGGACCATTTATCAGGGGAGCATCACTTGAAGATCCTGAGAGCAGATCTCCAAGATGATGCCGTGTATGAATGCCAGGCTATTCAGGCCGCCATCCGTTCCAGACCAGCCCGGCTGACCGTCCTTGGTAAGAGTGCAATCCTCACTGGAAAATGGTGGCATTTCTTTTCTTGAGTGTGAAATGAATGAAATCGATTTTGAAATGAGTGAAATGAGTTTTGGAGAACAGGCTGCTGTTTGTTACTTTAAAAAGAGTGCAATTCATAAGACAGTAAACTAGCCAAATAACTTTGGAATAGGTCTGCTGCTGCTGAAAATGGTTTGTTCACTGGTTTATTCACTGTTCCTCATAATTTGAAGAGAAACTTGGCTGTGGTATTTCCCCAGCAGCCGACAATGCTGTGGAGCAGGAATAGACTAAGATGTAGTGGTCTTTTGAAAGTTAAGTTTGATAAGTTTTAGTATTATCACTTTTAGAGGTTTTTATTTGGATTTTTATATTTGTTAATATTGTTCTGAACTGTCTTAGTCCCAGCATGGCTACAAAGCTAAAATATAAATCAGAAGGAAGGAAGGAAGGAAGGAAGGAAGGAAGGAAGGAAGGAAGGAAGGAAGGAAGGAAGGAAGGAAGGAAGGAAGGAAGGAAGGAAGGAAGGAAGGAAGGCACACAATGTGATGATGTCATACTATAGATATGCACCTGTAAATATTGTAAGGCAATCCTCCAACCTGTTTTGGGGACTGTATAAGAGTTTTATACAATCAAATACATTAACCCTGACCGAAAACCAGTTGCTAATGTCCATTGTGGTATGTCTTCAAGTAGTTTATATGTTATTGTGATCTTAAGGTGAACTTATCATGGGGTTATCTTGGCAAGATTCATTTGGCGAGGATTTGCCTTTGCCTTCATCTGAAACTATGGCTTGCCCATGGTCACTCAGTTTGTTTTTATGGTGAAGCAGGGATTCAAACCATGGTCTGCAGTTGTAGTCCAAAGCTCAGGACACCAATACCATACAGGATTGGTAGTTTCAGTTACAGTTGACCTATTTAATTTATTGCTGAATTTTACGTTCCACATATCCCAGGTACTAGATAAATTCCAAATGAAGGATCTGGGAAAACCATTTCTGAGCATCCCATGCCTAAGCAAGCCTTATGTAATTCATGGGTTCACTATAAGGCTTTCGATCTTTGATATGTTGTTTTAAATTGTGTTAGATTCGAGTTTGTTTCTTGTAAGCCACTCCGAGCCCTAGGGGAGTAGCAGCATATAAGTTTGAATAATAAATAAATAAATTTTAAAAGTCAACAGGTAACTTGACAGTGTATATATACATATGCTAATCAACAGTAACTTGACAGTGTTAAATCATATAAATTTCATTGATGGTCCTATTTTAGTTGGTAGTAGGAATGGGATGTGGGCCTTTGAAAGCCAGTAGTATCAGCAACTTAAGAAAACCTTATCCTGTGAGGAAATAGCATTTGATTGCTTCCGCTGACATTTTCTCTAAGATCTACAATGTGTTCTCAGAAGTGCCTTAAAAATTATGCTGGTTCTTTGGAAAATAGCAAAATCTGCGGATACTTCACTTCACTTCTTCACTTCACTTTATTTCTTAATTAGTCGCTCTCCACCAAGGTGCTCCAAGCGACTTACAATCTAAAATAGCATTTACACAATATTAAAACATTCAACATAAAAACATTCAACAGTGACTATTTGGCAAATTAGATCTGATTACTTAAATGCACAACCAAACAGCAAAGTCTTGAGTGCCTTTTCAAAAGGTCGCAACTCCGACATTGCTCTAATGTATGGAGGCAATGAGTTCCACAGAATTGGAGCATAGGTCGACAAAAGCTCTACGCCTTGTAGCTTCCAGGTGTACCTCCATAGGGCCCGGTATATATAGGAGATTTTCCTGGGTGGATCGAGGTGACCACTGATGGAGAAGGAATGAGGTGGTCCCTAAGATATAAAGCTCCTTGGCCATTTTGAGCTCTAAATGTCAAGATCAGTATCTTGTAAGAGATCTGATGTTCTATTGGTAGCTAATGCAGTTGTTGCAGAATCGGTGTAATATGGGATCGTATAGATGATCCCACTAGCAGCCTGGCTGCTGCATTTTGGACCATCCGAATCTTCTGGGTTGTTGACTTTGGAAGGCCGGCATATAAGGTGTTGCAGTAGTCCAACTTTGTGGTGACTGTTGCGTGGATTACTGTTGCCAATGCTTCTACCGAAAGGTAGGATGCCAATTTCCTTGCCTGGCGAAGATGAAAAAAGGCCTGCTTACTTATGGCAGTGATCTGGGCCTCCATCGTCAGTGATGAGTCCAACACAACCCCAAGGCTTTTAACAGTGGCAGACGGAACCAGAGCTTCCCCATCAAAATCAGGCAGAGACTGGATTAATTCTGGCGGCTGGATACTAGTAAAGTTATTCCCAAAATACGAATTCTGTTGCATGATTTAGTTATATCAATCAATTTAAGAATGCCATCTTCACCAATAAATGTGGCCAATGACCAGCTGAACTGACATTAAGGAGCTGGAACTATGAGTAATCTATCCTTTGTCTCTCTAGACATGTTGAAAAATATCTAGGACTATTATCACCTTGGCCTAACTTTAGGCTGCCATTATGGCTATTTTCCTAGATCTTGTGTCTGCCGCCACTCCACTCTTGCCCTGAATCTCCTCCTTTCCTCAGTTGCCATTACAGACACAAGATTTTAGCCAGAAGAGCTGTTTGGGTGTTGAGATTGTGATGTTGATGGATCCCCTGAAATCTGCTGACAAAAGAAAGTTCTGCTAGCAGATGAGTAATTCTGCAGTCTTGAGATGTTTGTGCCTAATCCTGATACCCTACAGCTGGTGCATCTTTGAGTTAGGGTTGCAATGGGCTCTCTAAAGAATTTTGATTAGGATTACTAATACTTCAAACATAAACAAATATTTCCATATGTATAAGCACAAGATGACACTCAACTATGTCAGTATAATGAAAAGAACGTAAATAGCTTGGCACAGGAATAATAGCAATAGAACATGAATTTCATTTTCATATTTGTAACATGCATAACAGTATATTGAGCAAGTGCTGACCTTTATATTTAAGAGATGTATCTGTGATATATTTGCATACGTTTGTGGTTGTCTTTCTGCTGGCATGATAGTGCCTCCCTCTGTATCTCTAACTATCACCCAATTCCCAGATTTGACAGAAGTATATTTGGGGGAGGGGGTAAAACTGATTAAGAAGTATCTGTTTTACTGCTGGCATTTAGATTTATAATAGCTTCTAATGATTCTGGGTGTATAAATCAGCTCTTACAGAAAGAAGATTTATGTATAAACACGCACACAAAATATACCATTGAAATAACCCCCTGCAGCTACTCAAAGCTGAGATGTTATTATGATTGAAAATGTATTTATCAGTGGAGTCTGTGTATGTAAAAAACGAGAGAGAGAGAGAATGACAGTTGAAGTTCATTCACTGGAATTTCTATGACTAGTTCTTCTTCAATATCATAGACATATGAAGGAAACTTGCCAATGAATTGTTAGTGTCAGTGGAGAGTACTAGAAGATCATGAACTTCAAAACTGGAGATATCTTCAGCTTCTGCTGCACCACGTATGGGACTGAATGAAAGACAGAAGACAGGATTATTATTGGGATGATTGAGGGAAGAGAAGAACAAGAGGTGTCCCAAGGATGGACTAGAAGAAGGGTCAAGGTCATTTCTGAAATTATTTACTTTCCTGTTGTCTTCTATTTCCTCGTTTTTCCATTCATCTTTCATTACTGCTGATCAAAGCTAGAGGGACTGAGATATATGCTGAAGTGGGTAGGGGTTTACTGTAATGCAACTCATAATATCATAAAGCCACTGAGTCTGTCAGCCTTCCTGTGCTTTGCTAGGAATATGTGCCTTCAGCATGCAGTTCCCATCATCCTTCACCATTAATATATGTTTACACCCTACACACATACTCACACAAAGGAGGCATTGCAAGTAGGCAGGTTTTTTTAGGGTGAAAATTCTAGAAAAAATGCTATTACCTTTTCTCCCCCTACTTCAATTTTCACCAATTACTCTTCCAAAAAGTGAAGAAAGACTAATATGTGGGCTGCTGTCATAGAATCATAGAATCATTCTGGGTTGGAAGAGACCTCATGGGCCATCCAGTCCAACCCCCTGCCAAGAAGCAGGAATATAGCATTCAAAGCACCCTTGACAGATGGCCATCCAGTCTCTGTTTAAAAGCTTCCAAAGAAGGAGCCTCCATCACACTCCGGAGCAGAGAGTTCCACTGCTGAACGGCTCTCACAGTCAGGAAGTTCTTCCTCATGTTCAGATGGAATCTCCTCTCTTGTAGTTTGAAGCCATTGTTCCATTGCGTCCTAGTCTCCATGGAAGCAGAAAACACGCTTGCTCCCTCCTCCCTATGACTTCCTCTCACATATTTATACATGGCTATCATATCTCCTCTCAGCCTTCTCTTCTTCAGGCTAAACATGCCAAGCTCCTTAAGCCGCTCCTCATAGGGCTTGTTCTCCAGACCCTTGATCATTTTAGTCGCCCTCCTCTGGACACATTCCAGCTTGTCAATATCTCTTGAATTGTGGTGCCCAGAATTGGACACAATATTCCAGGTGTGGTCTAACCAAAGCAGAATAGAGGGGTAGCATGACTTCCCTAGATCTAGACACTATGCTTCTATTGATGCAGGCCAAAATCCCATTGGCTTTTTTTGCCGCCACATCACATTGTTGGCTCATGTTTAACTTGTTGTCCACGAGGACTCCAAGATCTTTTTCACACGTACTGCTCTCGAGCCAGGCATTGTCCCCCATTCTGTATCTTTGCATTTTTTTTTGCCTAAGTGGAGTATATTTATTTATTTATTTATTTATTTGCTTTATTTCTATGCCGCATTTTTCAGCCCTTAACAGGCGACTCAATGCGGTTTACACAATGTAAATTAACACAACAATAACAGTTAAAACACATCATACACAATAACAAAATACACAATTATTATCAATTCATGATGCCTCGATAACAAAACAAAATCCATTCTCATAATCCTTGTGCCATTCCTATGT